TCGCTGATAATGGGGCCAAAATTAAGCTACGCAAAACAGCAAAATCAAGTTGCAGGTTAGGAAATATCATAAAAGTGTACAAACTTACTTTTAGTGCGCAAAATTACCGAAACTTACTTTTTGTCACCGTCCAGCGATTTCAACATTTTATTACGGCTGCTAATAACTTCACTGATGTGCTTGGCAAGCAGAGCAATGTCGTCATCACTGAAACATCAAAAAAAAAACTACAGAAATCGTTTTCGCTTCGGGAACTGCTTATCCGGAAATCACTCGGTAACTTATACTGTTTTCTTCTTTTTTTTCCGCTTAAGCCGATAATCGTTGATTATACGTATAAATCGTCATCGGACCCATTAACAGCAGTTTATGACACCGCGATCCCCCCATAACATTACGGAATAGCCTTTCCACCTCCTCCACTTCCCTGTTCACCTTCCCTTCACCCTTCAAAATAATTGCCCAGCACACCGACTGCCGGCGCGAAGATGCGTTTTTTGCACAGTTTCCCGAAGATTTTTATCGCCAACAGTATTATTTTTTTTTCCGGCAGATGTTTCTTCCTAAAAAATTGAGACTGCCCACCACGACTGTGAGAAAACATCCCCTCAAAATTTCAGCTTTCTAGTTTTTCCGGTTTCGAGTTAGTAACTTACCCGTCAAAAACATCCACAAGCCCATACGTGGGAACCACGCACACCTGGGAGCTGGGTTTGAACTGATTAAATCCGACTTGGACAGGGAACATCCCTTCAAAAACACAGCTTTCTAGTTTTCCCGGTTCCCATGTTAATAATTTACCTGCCAAAAATTTTCACGGGCCTGTACCTGGGGATCACATGGGCAAGAGTGTCCATTTTGGGGATAGGGACCCACAAATGCACGTAGATCAAGTTCACAAACTTTCAGCCTTGCGGCTTTTGTAGATCTCGAGATGAAAAATCGGTACAGACGCACATACAGACACACAGACAACTTCTCGACAATATGAGTTTTTGCACTGCATAGATGCAAAAAATGCATAAAAAAGCACAGCTGCTAATCGAAGCCCTTTCAAACAGGCTCTGTCTTATCCGCTAGTGGCCGATTAAGTTCGACTATAATCCTTTTCTGAAGGCTAGGATGCCTTAAACGCCTCAAGCTTGCCTCCTAGAACACCTTCCGGGCTCCCTTATTTGCTCAGTTTTGCGCTCAAAAGTAATTCAAATTTATAAACGACGAACGTTTTCGTGGATGTGAACACAACGATGGTTCCAGAATTTGGTGAGACTTTTTTCGTGGCATTTTCCAGCGTTAGCTCATAAATTTCATTTCTTTCACGTTCCACTAGTGATGCCAGTTTTTCGTATCGTTCCTAAAATTTCTTAATTCTCAAAAAAAAAGCGCATTTTTGGCAATAAAAAACAAAAAACGAAAATTAAAAAAAAAAGTACCGGGAATCTTTCATGGCGCAAATCCCGCTCTTCTACGCCCGGTGCTTCGGATCCGGCAATCGGCGGCTTCAGAACTTCGGTTTCTTCGCCTGGCGATACATCACGACGACGTTTTCGGAATCCATCGATGCCCGAATTCAGCTCGACCTGTTTCTTTTGCAATTCGGTTAACTCACTGATCGCTTCAACAGCCATCGAAATACCATTGATTATCGAACAGGACGACAGATCGGCTTCTGGATCCGGAATACCGCACACACCAAATGATTTCAGCAACTGGAAAAAAAAAAAAAAATAAATGGCAACGCGCACCAGACTAGCCGG